GACCATGGAGAGAATTATAGTGGAATTTTTTTGAAATATCTAATCATAGAATTATTTATTAATAATTCCAGGTTTGTTCCATTCTGATAAGTCTCTGACTCGTGCATGGATATGAGGCTGAAGCTAGCAGACAAACTATGTATCAGACAAACCGCGCGGCGATAACCAAATGTTTTGATGTTGTTATTTGGCAAAATCTTTGGTTTAGGTGGACTTTTAGTATTATGAAAGTTTAGAAATAAATAAGTATTAGTGTATTTATTGAAAAAAAAAAAGGATTAATTTAATTTGAATTATTAGTTAAAATAAGATAATCTTACACAAAGACGGAGACGAAACAAACACATTTACAATGCGGTTATAAATATAATTTTTATACCAAATATTCATTAGGTTTTTGTTAATTGATTAAACAAAAAATTATGGTCGAGCAATGATTTAAAATATATTGTTTTGGTCTTTTTAAAGTCAGGTGTTTTGTCGTCAAACGACTATAAGAACTAAGAGACCAACAAAAACACATTTAGCACATTACAAATACAATTTTCATACCAATAATTTAGTACACCACTAGCTATAAAATAAATAAATAAATCATTAAATAGCAAGACTTCTAATTACCTTTTTTAGGTCTTTAAAAATGCGCGGTTTCGCGGAAAAACATTATTCTACCAAAATATCAAAAACCAATATTTAGCACGAAATTCTAGATATAATTTTTAATACGAATGATTCAATACATTAGTATCATTCAAAAACACAATAAATCATTACATAGCAAGACCTCCAAATATGTTTTTTAGGTCTTTAAAATGGAGCGATTCCGCGGATAAACCTTACTTAATCAAAATGATAAAAACCAATCATTCATTTTTTAAATTATAAACACGACACCACGCGTGCAAAGCCGCGGGCAAAAGCTAGTAATTATATAAATGCGAAAGTTTGGATGGATGTATGGATGGATGTTTGTTGCTCAATCACGCAAGAACGGCCGAACGGATCTGGATGAAATTTGGCACAAATATAGATTATAATCTGGAATAGCACATAGGCTACTTTTATCCCGAAAAAATGTACGGTTCCCGTGGAATCGCGCCATTTTAAAGACCTAAAAAACGTATTTGGAGGTCTTGCTATGTAATGATTTATTTTTTTTTTTTTGAATTATAATAATGTATTGAATCATTCATACCAAAAATTATACCTGGATTTTCGTGCTAAATGTTGGTTTTTATCATTTTGATTAAGTAAGGTTTATCCGCGGAATCGCTCCATTTTAAAGACCTAAAAAACGTATTTGGAGGTCTTGCTATGTAATTATTTTTTAGTTTTTTGAATTATAATAATGTATTGAATCATTCACACTAAAAATTATATCTAGATTTTCGTGATAAATATTGGTTTTTGTCATTTTGATTGAGTAAGGTTTATCCGCGGAATCGCGCCATTTTAAAGACCTAAAAAACGTATTTGGAGGTCTTGCTATGTAATGATTTATTTTGTTTTTGAATTATAATAATGTATTGAATCATTCATACCAAAAATTATACCTGGATTTTCGTGCTAAATGTTGGTTTTTATCATTTTGATTAAGTAAGGTTTATCCGCGGAATCGCTCCATTTTAAAGACCTAAAAAACGTATTTGGAGGTCTTGCTATGTAATTATTTTTTAGTTTTTTGAATTATACTAATGTATGGAGTCATTCACCCTAAAATTTTTATCTGAATTTACGTGCTAAATATTGGTTTTTGTCATTTTGATAAAGATTTATCCGCGAAATCGCGCCATTTTAAAGACCTAAAAGACATATTTGGAGGTCTTGTTATGTAATGATTTATTGTGTTCTTCAATGATACTAATGTATTGAATCATTCGTATTAAAAATGATATCTATAATTTCGTGCTAAATATTGGTTTTTGATATTTTGGTAGAATAATGTTTTTCCGCGAAACCGCGCATTTTTAAAGACCAAAAAAAGGTAATTAGAGGTCTTGCTATTTAATGATTTTTCCTACGACCACTTAGGAAAGTGACACATATCACACTATATAGACCTATGGAAAGTGCCCTATATCACACGCGTATGAATAAGAATTTACTTTCCACCCAAGTGAGAATATGCTACTTTCCGCAGTAGCTATCAGAAAATGTCAAACACATAATTTCTATTTTGATCTATGTAATGTCCATATTAATACTAAAATCGATATGATTGTTAAATTATTGTAAATTAGATCCTAGATATTTATCTTTAACAATTATTTTTAAAATAATTTTAAAATAACTAAGATATATTTGCTTTTTATTCTGGTTAAACACATAAGCGATTAGATCAATCAATTACCGTAAGACCTGTTAGCTCAGTTGGTTAGAGCATCAACTTTGCAATTTGAGACCGTCCAACGACCGCGATCGAATCCTGGCTGTGCCAGATTTTTTTTTTTATTTTTTTTTTTATTTTTTTTTATTTGTTTAGAAATTATGAAAATTTAATAAATACGATTATTGTTGATTATTTTTTTAAATACATTTTAATTATTATAATAATCTGGTTTTACATTTTTTGATGAAATTATTTTGTGGTCGTAGGAAAAATATTGTACATCACTTGTGTGAAAAGTGATTTTCCACACTCGTGTGATAGTCGCACTCGGCTTACGCCTCGTGCGACAATATTTCCCACTCGTGTGAAAAATGTCACTTTCCACACTCGTAATGTAATATACTATTTTATTTATTTCAGAACTAGAGGTGTACTAAATTATTGGTATGTGCTAAATGTGTTTTTGTTGGCCTCTTAGTTCTTATAGTCGTTTGACGACAAAACACCTGACTTTAAAAAGACCAAAACAATATATTTTAAATCATTGCTCGGCCATAATTTTTTGTTTAATCAATTAACAAAAACCTAATGAATAATTGGTATTAAAATTATATTTATAACCGCATTGTAAATGTGTTTGTTTCGTCTCCGTCTTTGTGTAAGATTATCTTATTTTAACTAATAATTCAAATTGAATTAATTCATTTTTTCCAATAAATACACTAATATTTATTTATTTCTAAACTTTCATGATACTAAAGTTCACCTAAACCAAAGATTTTGCCGAATAACAACATCAAAACATTTGGAGACCGCCGCGCGGTTTGTCTGCTAGCTTCAGCCTCATGCATGGATGTGTTCATAAACTAACTACTGCACATGTCAGTCAGTTTATTCATGTTGTTTTATCAGCAACTTATACTTGTTGGAACGCAAAATGCAATGGAAATGGACCAAATAAACACATGTTAGGTTAATAGGTATTTAAAACAGTATTTTAAATACTATTTAGCTGTCTCCATATATTTGAATGTATAATTTTGAAATCATAAAATGTTTATTTTTATGTGAAATAAGTATTTACATAAAAAAAGGGACACAAGATAAAAACAAACAAACGAAAATTGAACCATAGCATACTAATTATCAAAAATTTAAAATGTTTACAATTATTATGACAGAAAAGCAGCATGTAATTCGAAGAAACAACTTACACACATCCGTGGATAGGAATGTGTATTGAAAAATATAACATTATTTGTCAGAAAAAGCAAAAACTTTTAATCTCATTCATACACAGACATATATACACAAGGTTAACTGCATGACTCCCACAGGGGGTAACTAATAGGTAAAAACCACTGTTATTTTATTTTTAAAAATTCGAATTTTTATTTTAAAATGAATGATTTTTGGACATAAAATGAATAATAGATTTTTTCCCTATTGAGTACCCCCATCCAGGGACACAAGGTATAATATATTGCAATTTCAGAGCAAGCACGCTAGGGATTTTTTTTGGCTTCTCCATGGTTACATTTGGAGATTTAAAGTAAAATATTCAATGATGATATTTGTTATAAATACCTAGTCTTATATATTTATGTCCTTTTAATCATAAAATGTTTAGTTTATAGGTATTGTTAATTTTATATAGTTTTAAAACTATTTCTATTGCACATACAGATGTTTTTGCATCTAGGTGCATATTTTAAGAATAATTTCTCATTGTAAATTTATTTGATTTTGAATTATACAATAAAATAAATAATAAAAATCAAAATGGGAATAGTAAAACTATACAATAGTAAACAGTTTTTTGATATAGTAAGCAATTTTTAGTACTATAATCCAGAAAAACCAAATCAATTACCAGACAAATTTAAAAATTATGTAGCTGCATCCCTGGCAGGCCCACATTACTCAGTACATGGCAACCACTGTGCTCAAATAGGGTCACACGTTCTGGGCCGAAACTACCATATTGGTGCACATGGTCATTAACCTGTTAATGACTTTTATGACAACAACTTAGGTAACGGTTCTGTCAAATTGGTCAGTGATATTGTTTTAGGGTTACTACTGAAGTTATTAATGATACTTAACTTGTCTAAGACTTAGCCATTAGCCAAACAATAACATCAATTTAGTTATATGGGATACAGGTATTGTTGAAGACTCTATATAATTTAACATAATTTGGATATAATACCTCCTGCGAGTTGCCAGAATTGTCCACTTGATCTACCGGTAGCTCGCGATTAATAGGCTGGCGACCTCTACCCCCTAATCTAGATCAAATAAATATCAAATGGTTTACCTTCTTTGAATGGAATAGCTTAAAATGGATCAAATTGAACTAAAATGAATCAAAATAATTGACGAGCAATTATGAATCACAAACACTGTTTTATTAGTTGTGAAAAGTTTAAAACAGTTAAATATATCAATTAAAAAATTATCCGCTTTAATAAGTCTCTTTGAGACTTTCAACTAACGTCATGCTTATTCCTAATGATGCCAGCCAGTAGTACACATGTAGTACATTTCAAACTAAACTAGAGGAGTTAATAGATTATAATTTTAAACGATCATTTTATATTTCAAGCGAATGGCACACAATTCTATATAACTTTTTTTATAAATAGTATGGGCACACCGAAAAACTCACCTTAGCTGTAGGCTTCGAGCAAGATCTATTATCAACAGCATTATTTAAAAAAGAGTCGGAAATCACTGGTGACGAATTTCTAGATTCCAATTCACTGAACATAATTATCTGAAAATGTAGACCAAATAACTTTCTTATTTACGAAATTACAATAATAAACAAAAATAATTTAAACAAGCCAACCAGCAGAAGCAATTTAATATGTCAGCTGTCATTTTAAGCATTTATTATTTATTTTATTAACCAGAGTCCTAGTGGAGGCCAGCTGAACAAACTCATTTGATATTAAGTTGGTAGACATGACTAAACGTATTTATGGTAATTATTGTACACAAGTACGGATTTGTAACTGTAATGTAATACAAGGTACAAAATACAACATATCTCTAGTCATGTTCATAAAGACGTCTGTCTCTTCATTTACTTTAAAACTAGCAATTTTACAATTCCTCTAACAATAAATTAAATAAAATATTCATTTTTAATTTATATCCACCATTGGTATCATAGTCACTATTATAAGAACCAACTGAACCAACCCAATAGATACAAAATTACTAAAATAACAGTTATCTCCTTCTTACAAAACTGAAATAAATAAGATGTAAATAGTTATTTTTCCCATGTTTTTTCCGTTTTAAAACTTCAAACTAACGAACTAACGTTTCAAATAGTAAACAGTAAACAAAAATTATAAATGATTTTGAAGTTTTCGTAAACGAATTTCAGAAAATAATAATCCAGCAGCAGAAATGAATTCCGTTTTTAAAGAGTAAATTATTATTATAACGGTCCTAGATATCGTTTAAAGTAAAAATGTGCTCCAAAACTGACGATACTGACCAAATAATTGTTCAACGTTTTAAAAAAGACTATACTGAACAGTTTTATATTCTTGTACGAATGCATTTATCTTTTTTGTTAGATTTGAACACTGAAGAGTAAGCAAATAGTAAATATAAAAAAGAGTAGGAGTATATTGAATTTTATTTTTTTTTTGTAGAAATGATAGTGTACCTGAAAAAGGTAGAATTAAAAAATGGAATTTAGTCCCTTTTTCTAAAAAGTCCAAACTTCGGAGTGTCATAGAAGGAGCTCCTTTAACTCAAGAGGGAATAAATCAAATATTTCAATTAATAGAATTTCTGAAACAAGAAGACAGTAAATTAATAAAATTATTTAAAAAAAAAAATGTTTGAATACCTGTTTTCTTTTTTAGATATTAAAAGTGAAGGTATATTTAGACGAACTGGATCAATCGAAAGGCAGCAAGAATTAAAATATCTCTTAAATCAAGGATCATTTTTAGATTTGGGTTCTGGGACCTACAGTGTACATGATTGTGCATCAGTTCTAAAAGGATTTTTCCAAGATTTACCCGATCCACTATTGACTGAGGTTCATTTTCCTGTATATTGTCAAATAGCAGGTACTTTTTAATTCTACATATTGTAATATTTAACATAATATATAACTTTTTCTCAGAACTATATGACATCAATATATCTGCATTGCAAGAATCAAAACTTCTGGAAGCCTTACAATTACTTTTGTTACTTCTTCCTTCTGAAAATAAGTTGCTTTTAAAAGATCTCTTAGAATTACTACATGTTACTGCATCATTTGAATCTCATAACAGGATGTCTCCAGACAATTTAGCAAAACTGTTTACACCTCATTTATTATGTCCAAGAAACCTCACGCCTGCAATATTGCTAAAAGTTTCTCAGTCTTTATTTAGTATTGTTAGTTTTATGATAATGAAGTACAAAGAAGTATTTAAAATCCCCTCAAAATTGATATTAGACTTCAAAGCTAAGTATGAAAAAAAGAGAATACTATCACCAGTCAGACATCTTAATGAATCTACAGCAGATGTTGCAAGTACAGTTTTTACTTTTGTTGATCGGGAATGTACTACTAAAGAGAATCAGTCTAACCCTACTGAGACAGCTTTAGCCCAATTGTACGCACATATTCAGAGTTTACCTGAATCTTCTAAAAAAAGGAAGTTAGTCAAACAATTTAATAAGGAAAATGGACATGGAACTCCCTTACAAACAGTGAAAAATAGTAAAAATAGAAGTATAGGGGATTCAATTAAGAAACATATTTTTCATAAACATTTGGCTAGGAAAAAAGGTTTTCTTATGAAGGATTCTCCTTGTGGTACAAGTGAAGTAAGTTTGTGTTTTATTATGTAAATAATGATCTTTAGTCAAAGTAGTTAGAAGCTTTCAGGAAACATTTACACACAGCTTTTAGTGATCTTAGGTATGTATGAATCAAATTTAAAAGTCAAACCATTGTATTTAGATAGCCTAGTAGAACAACCTTACAGAAGATTCATTGGAGGTAATCCTGTTGTGACATCTGTTAGAACAAGTACAGAACTTTATCAAAATTGGCCAGTGCACTAGCGCTCCCTCGACGATTGAGTATAGAATTCTATACATAAGGTTTTCTTTATTTTTAAATTCATTTAGGTAGATTGCCAAATTTAAATTATTAATATTGTTATATTCTCTAAAATGATAAATCGTTAATACATTTACATCAAAAATAATAAAACTTAAATATCTCATTTTTAAAACAAATATTCTGTTCATACTTGATCGACTATTGGTCCATCTATTAGTAAATAGAGAAATTATGTTCACTATTATGATTCGACAACTGTTCGTTAGTTCAGTAGAAGATGACAAAATTATCAAATACATGACAAAATTATCAAATACATGACAAAATTATCAAAGACATGATGGAGCTTGCTGCCATCTATTGCTACTGTCCATTGTCCTCCAAGATAATTTGCATTAAGATTGTTCTACTAGGTTCTAAATACTTAATGAAATCTAGGCTCAATTTATGTATATAATAATAATAATAATAATAATAAATGTCCTTTATTTGTACATACCAAAAATACAAAAAATATGTAGAAATGTACATTTGCCTGGGCGAGATTTAGCCTAAGGCTATTCTTACATCTAACCCTATAAATTCTATACATAGTTTAAATAATAAATACATTTTTATACGAGTATATTTGAGGAGTAGATAGGACAAAGACAAAATTTTGATGTTATTCCGTAGCAGACGAGTAGATGATTGTTAATTATTTAAATATTGTCCAAATATTTTAGTATTTTTGTTTTATTTTTATCACACCCTTTTTTTAATGATTCAATTGAAGTTTAGCATAGAAAATGACAAAATATCTGGAAAATTTGTATTTCTTGAATTAAAAAAAAAATATTTGGTCAGTAAAGTCTAGATTCAAACTTCATACTTTTCCCATCCACAACATATAAAACCTGGAATAATATTAATATGTAATTAGTTTGCTAAAATCATAGATATGAGAATGTCTATTCGTTAGGCTTACAATTAAATCAAAATAGGCCAGTACCTTGTTTTAGTTTTGCAAAAAATGCATTTTACGAAAGTAAGTGTTTCTTTTAGAACAATTTTTATATTTTGCTTTATCTCATAAAAATATTTAAATTCTCTATATATTTAATTTTTCCTAGCTTTGCATTTTCTAACAGCATTTTTGATGTTTGCATTCTAATTCTATTGCTTTTGTATGCTCAGCATGTTTTTTTAGGTTTGATTTCATATTAGTGTTTTATATTTAAATAATTAAATTATATATTCAAATTAAAACATTATTTCTAGCAAATAATTAAATTTTATGTAGGCATGTCAGCGAAAATAATGCTTATAGGGGTCTATTCTGTAACGTTTTAACCGCCAGGTTAAAAGTTATTTAAAACTATGACGTTTAAATTTTAACCCAAATCTCTATTCCATATTATTGAATTTAATTTTGTGTTATTAGCTATTTTATACCAAATCCAGTTAAAATAGACATGGCAACGATGTAATTAATATACCTAAAAGTGAATTGAAATTAAGCCCAACGCAGCATTAAAAACAAGAAAAAGAATATATTTGACATGTAATTATTAGTAGAATAGTACAGAATACAAAATTAAAAATGACATCTGGTTATTTTTATAACCCAGGTTTAATTTTGACCAAATTTTTATAGAATAGACCCCATAGTCGTATTTATACTCGGACAAAATATTGAAGAAGGTGATTCCTTCCTGTTCACGTACAACAATCATACTATACCAGAGCATAATGAACGGAATCACGCGCTTAAAACTGCAGAAGTTATCGGTATCACGTGCCAACTAGTCATAAATGCATGTTTATTGCTAAAATCTAAAAACTATTGGCAAATTAAATGCGGTAATAGTAAATAATATTATATGAAAGTAGGTTGGTTATCTATTTTTGTAGTAATAATCATTTATGTTTATAATTTTATTTTGTTTATTGTTAAAATATGTAAATATTATTCCAATGGCGTAGAAACACTATTGGAAAATTAAATGGGGTATTATACTAGAACAAAATATTGAAGAAGGTGCACCTTAAAACTGCAAAAGGTATCGTTGTCATATCAAAATGCACTCTTCCAGTGTCGCAGAAATACTATATTGGCAAATTAAATGGGTATTTGTGAATATTACTAGATGAAAGTAGGTTGGTTATCTATTTTTGTTATAATAATTCATCTATATTTATAATTGTATTTTGTTATTATATTATAAAAATATGTAAATTAAGCTTGGTATCACTTACTTGAATTCTAAATCTATTAAGTTTAGTAATCCATTGATTCTGCAGAACTATCACTGGAATCGTCTTTATCGTCGGAACTTAAAGTTATGACTAAAGGTTCAACTACCGTTTCGATCATACCGTCGATCATTTCGCCACATATTATTTTCTTCCTTAATTACATGGGAAATAGCATTCTGCCAATATTCAGGTTTTATACGTCTTATACCGGTTTTTAATAAACTTTGAACGTCGGCTACAAACCCTTTCACTTGCGCCCAAATTAGCTCAATAGGATTGAATTCGCAGTGATAAGGGGAAGTCTTAGTAATACCACGATCACGAGCCATTGTGTCGACAACATATTGAATATATTTATGGCGGTGTTCCTTTATTAGGTCCATTAATTCCACTTTGCCACTAACATAGTTAAAAAAAAAATGAATTCCACTTTAAGCATCTCCTCAGTAAATGTTATTGCTTTATCCCGCAGCCAGGTTTGCATATCTGCTTTCCTACTGGACATTGTCGGAATGCGTTCAACTCGTCGACTGTGATAAGAAGCGTTATCTAGTATAATAAATGAATTTCGTTCTACACGCTGTAATACTTCAGTAAACCATTTTTCAAAGCATTCTGCATTCATGTCCTCGTGGTAGTCTCCTGTTTTTTTTTTCGATATAAACACAAGAGCGCTATTTTCCAAAAATCCACTGTCACTTCCGATATGGGTAACAATTAGGCGCTGTCCTTTACCTGATGGTGCTTTCAAACCTGTAGATAGCCCCTCTATAAAAGCTTGGCGATGACTAGTTACAGAAGTATCTTGCCATATCTTAGATACCGTGTGTCCAGCATTCACCCACGTTTCATCGAGATAGTAAATCTTTTTTTAGCAGCTCTTTAATATTTCGTAAATAACGCCGTCGCCAGGACACTATATCTGACCTCTCAATTAAAATTGATTTCCTACTCCGTTTGACAAAACGAAATTTTAGGCCCCATAAAATTTTTCGTAAAGTTTCACGGCTCATTAATGGAATTTCTTCGTTTTCTCTTAATTTCGTAAGAACAACTTTAAGTGTTGGGGCTTTGTTTTCGAAAAAAAAAAAAAAAAGAATGTACAGTTCTTCGAATGATTTGTTTTTGGTTATCGTCCAATTTCAACAATTTTCGACCACGGGTATGCGTTTTAGGGGCTTCTAAGGAGCCTTTTTTTGTCTTTTCGCATACAATACGTTCAATTGTTGAAACAGACACTCCAGTTAAAAAAGAACTGCGGTTTACAGCTTCATTTGTAGAAAGTATCTATTTCAGCCCGTCATACACTTTCCATATAATGTTCTTTTCATCCTTTGATAAGGGCTTTCGCCGACATAATTGGGTTTCACTTGGACCCGCCTCTGAATCCATTACTATTGTAACAATATAATTCTACTATTAAATTGTTTTTATTAAATTTATAAAGACACCAATATTTTACTATTTAATAAACTTTTAAAGAACCTACCTAATATACTACACAATAAATATAATTCCTCGAATATGCACTACCACTACCAAATTGTAAGGCACGAACACCTACTCGTATATCAAAAAAAATAAATTAAATAAATAAATATCAGAAAAGAGCACTTATACAAAAAAGTGTTTATAAAATATAAAATAATTATCGTAAATAGTAAATAGTTAAAGCGATACAAATCTAACTTCGTCGGAAGTTAGTTTTCAACTGTCTTTGTGCCTGTGCTGACAATATTCAATCTGTAACCCGCCTGTCGTTTATTTACTTGAAACACATTCATTTGTCATCGGGGAGATGACACGTTTTTAAAAGCGGTGTTTTTAAAACCATTAAACACAGATAATGAAGTCATTAGGGAATAAATATATTCATTTCTTGAAAACTATCAAAAACGTATATTTAACGCATCATCTTTGTTTAAATAAAGATGTTGACAAACAAATTTATTAAAGTTTACTAACAAATACCTAATAAATAATTATTTGGAATTTGATACGTCGCCTATGCTGACTCCGTCGGAATTTTCATTCATAGACAACAGTGTTGATCATGCATATGACTCACCTTCTCCAATATTTTGTTCTAGTATATAGTAAGATATGAAACCACCCTGCATGTTAAGTTAATTAAACATTTGTTGAAGTAGTGAAATCTTCTAAGAGTCCTAAGTGATATACAGAAAAAAATTTATAGAGAACAAAAACATTATTTTCCTTTTAATAGTGAATAAAAAAGTTGTTTTGACATGAGGTTACTTACTGATATCAGCTATGAATTTTAGAAAATAAAACGCTTCTATGAAATTAAGCCTTAACCAACCCTATTTTTAGAGCCCTCTAGGCTCACCTTCTCTTGTAACAAGAGCTCGTCTTTTCTGCCACCATAACTCCAATTCAAGCACGGACCAAAGTCAGGATGGGCAATGCCCCAATCCAAAAAGGATGAAATCAAGTAAGAGTTGTGAAAGACTGACAAGTAAAGAAAGTGACAATCTTCAAGGTAAGGGGAGTTTGTCTGAACCAGAATTCAGTGACATTGAAGAATCTGGAGATTGTAATGTTTATTTAACCAGCACGCCGGCATGTTTTCCATTAAAAGCATGTGATGTTTTTACTCCGGATTCAAAAGATAGGAAGTCTATGTCACCTATTACAATGTCAGCACAGAGGATGTCCAGAGCTATGCAGGTTTGTTGTTTTACAACTTAAAAGTTATTACAACTGATAGATGTCATCGTCTTTCATTTTTTTTTATTTTTTAACATTGAACTTTTCAGACTTTCAATGCATTTAAAACCTTGTTAGGATAAATAAAACACCTTGCTTATTTTTAGCTTCTCTTTTTGATGTTGCTTTTTTGTTTAAATTTTGTATATCAGAATCAGAAACACAGTATCCTATCTATAAGTAAAACATTGTAGAAAATATCAAAGATAAAATTGTCACTTTACAACTGTAGGTACTAATATTAAAGGTTCTTTCGATCTTTAATTAATTGTGACTATATTCTGTAATTATGCTTCTGATTTACATAATTGCATTTACCTGTTGATAATATTTTATTATATATTGATATTACTTTTAATTTTGTGTTCTTGTAAAACTTCTGTCTTTTAATGTTAAATTCTGTATAGGAAACAATGATGACTCCAAGAAGTAGAAAACCAGTATTACTTCTGTCTGGTACCAACATAAATGCACTACCTAAAATGGAACATCCTAATCGTTTTATGGACAATGTAACTGAAGAAAAAGAAAGAATTGATTCACCATCTAGTTGTTTCCAAGTTAGCCTACCATTCAAATCAAAAAGTGAAGGAGACATTCAAAGAAATAAAATTGAAGTCCCAAAAATAAATAAAAGTGATACAGAAGCGATTCTAACAGATACTTTCAGAGAATATTTAAGCAATAGAGACATGATAACTTTTTATTCACCACAAGATTCAAGTTTTTCAAGCAGAACTGACGATTTTAATTCTACCGACTTAGGTAATTTGACTGATGGCCAGTTTTCCGATTCTTTAATGTACTGCCTAAATGGAAATAATCCAGAGGAACTTAATGTGATAGAAGAAGAGCAAGAAGAAAAGAAATTGGTGCTTAAACCCAAAAAATTTGACGAAAATGGGAAACCTATTATGTTTGAAACGTCATTTTGACAGTAATTTTTATTCTAATTATTGTTAAAATAATGTAGACAGATTATATTTATTTACTTTTATTACACTTTTTTAAGGAAAACCCGTTTTGAATGCTTAACCTTTTCACACCAGAGATCTGTATATTGGGTGTGTTCTTTACTGCATTCCCAGTGTTTGAGTGAAATTCTTCATCAGATTCTAGCAAAAGTTGCCAATCTTGGCTTCCCTTCATTTTATTGATATTAGCCCATTTACTTTTAAAAAACTTACTAGGAATTCTAATTTTACACGTTCCCGAAATGTTGGGCAATGAAAAACTGTTTGCCATACCACAGCTTTCCTCCACAGATACATTATAGCTTGTTGATCACCTTATTGACATTTGTGTGCTTGCCGTTTCTAAATAGACTACACAACGATTGCGTTTTTGTGCCTCGTTAAAGGGTTATACCACACTAAAGTTGGCCAAACAAAACATTATTTGATTTAAAAAAATTTATTCATGTGAAAAGGGTATCATAAAAAAACATTAGCTAGGTATTTATAAACATATTTTTTTAGTAATTTTATATGCTAAGGAATAAATAAGAAAAGTACAAAAACAAATAACAAAATAATAGGAGATGATTAAAACATATCATCATGAGTTAAATCTTGCATAAGTCTCAATCCTCTTTCTTTTAGAGCCTTAGAGAGTAATTTTTGTTTTTCTTGTTTTAATTCTTGCTCCTTCCTTTGAGCATCTAATATATCATCTACTGATACCTCTGTTAAAGGCAGCTCACTTTCTTTATCGGCGTCCTAAAAAACCATTTAATAAAGGAGAAAAAATATAATGTAGCTAAACTTACAATTTCACCTAATAAAACTACGTTTTCGCCTCTAACAATGAATACTCCTCTTGGGATGTCACCATATTCATTTCCTACGTGAATTCGTTCAATAGTTTGATGTAAAACTAAATTTGCAAACTGATCTACACTTCTTAAATAACCTATTAATGTTCTTCCATCTCGAAGTAAAACCATTAATTTTTCTGGAAACAAATAAATGAATTTCATTCTAGTAACTATAATTTAAACTATTTACTGTCTAGTTCGTCCAACAAATGAGCAGTTCCCTCTAATTCTGGTTTATTCAAATTCATTTTCGATATATACCTTTGCTTTGATAAACATAACCAGAGACAATACATAACCTATTCATACAAATTCTTCTTTTTCCGGAATATAACCATTTACTTCAATTCGGAGGCTCTGACATGTAAGGTATAAGGTATACAATGTCTCAATATTCCACGGGTGAGATTACAGATCGTCTGCAAATATAGCAAACTTAGGGTGAGATTACAGAACGTCTGCAACTTTGCAAATATGGCGGACTTACAAATGCAAGTATTCCAAAAAATATCCGCAAATTCGCAATATTTATTGTGGTTTATTACCCCCAACAACACTAAACCCAAATTTGGAATACGAAAACTTGATACTTGCATGTGTAGTCAGTCATATTTGCAGATTTTCAAAGTTGCCGCCATATTTGCAGATCTGCAGACGTTCTGTAATCTCACCCTTATGGAAGTATCAAGTTTTCGTATTCCAAAAAATATCTGCAAATTCGCAATATTTATTGTGGTTTATTACCCTCAATAACACTAAACCCAAATCCACCCTTAAGGGTAAGATTGCAGAAGCTCTGCAAATCGTACTTGCATTTGCTAAAGAGAAACATGGTATTACAGAAACGTATTTTCACTTTTTGCGTCTGTAAATTATCTGTAACTTTGCAGGAGGTTAGGACATTCTACAAACTTGCAGATTGTCAATTTTTACTTTAATAACCACGAAGTCTTCTGTTCCTTATTTTGATTGAATACAGTTCGTGGTATCAGATTATCGAGTTTTGTAACATAGTAATGAATTTCGGTTTAGTGTTGTTCGGGGTAATAAACCACAATAAATATTGCAAATTTGCTGATATCCGCCATATTTGCAAAGCTGCAGCCTTATTTGCAAAGTTGCAGATGTTCTGTAATCTCACCCCAAAATGGCAAAAGAGATAATTTGTATTGATAGAGCATGACATATAATTCTAATGAATGTATCAAATGTTAGACGTTAGGAATGATTGGAATGCTTAAAATCAGTCACATAAGAAATGAATGGGTGGATTCTCAGAACATTGTTATTAAAGTAGTTAGGATGAACAAAAAATTCTGAAAATCAATAGGGTTCTAAGTTAGAAGCAATTATTCAAGAAAATCAAAACCGCAAGTCAATCAGAACTTTTGTTTTAGAGTTATGGGTCGATTCTGAGACAATCTATAAGATAGGTATGTCAGCCAAAATCTGTAAAAAATTACATTACATTACTATACCCTCTGCTATACCTTACAGATTCTGTAGCTTACAGGATATTTCCCAGAATCCTACCATTATCGTTCCCGCATACATACACACAGACGAACATTTTTTTTCTTTTTGGAAACGTAAAAAAAAGTATAAAAAAATGATGGTAAGTAAATTTTTTCTTCTGCACAAATGCAATATTGAGGCCCCTTAGGAAGGACCTCAGTAAAATCGTTTTTTAACCTAAGAAAAAAGATGAATTCGGTTTTAACGGGTGTCTCAGAGTAGATTTTAGTTTTTAAACTTACTTAAGGCAGACCCTGTTCGAAATTTCATGAAAAGGGTACATCGAGCGTATACTCTATTTGTTACCATGGAATAGTGGACGAAGTGTATAATCCAGGCAACATCTGGTTCCAGCAAGACGATGCTATGACACACACAGTGATCGATTTAATAAACGCCCTGACAGAAACGATTCCAGACACACTAATTTCACACAAAGGCGATATTCGTTTCTCAATTTGTGATCCAAGATTGCCAAAGTGCTATGAGCAAGATGGTCAACTTGTACATGACCTGTTATTCAAGAAATAAAATCTGCATGTTTTGGGTGTCTATTTTAGTAATACATGTTTTTTTAACAGGTTCTGAAACAGTTTTAATGATTTAAAAACTAAAATCTACTCGGAGGCACCCTGTAAAAATTAAAGCAAAAGAAAAAATACTTTCCCTGTACCAATTGGAACATATGAAATTATATTAAAATAGTAGTACAAAAATATTTTATTTCATTTCGACATCATCAACCAAATATTTCAACTTAATAATTAAAGTAGTAGGAGAAGTTACATCGGCAACTAAAATATCTTGACCATCTCTTAAACCTAACTCAACTAAACTTTTATTCAAATTATCTCTAGTTCGCTCTTCAATACTTTTGATTGTTGACATATATAATGTTTTGTTCCTTCCATCTATAATTGTTGTTAGACCTGGGCTCTTCATTTGGTATGACGTGTTTTCTGACAGTAGTTCTACTAGTTGCTTAAGCTTCATCGTATTGGGATCATTGATTTCCATTACTTGAGGTGTCTGAGAACAAACTAAGCAATCAGATTTTCTTTCAGCTTCATAAGTGTAAGTATAGATGCCATCTACGTCATTAAAAACCATATAGTTATTGAGTGGTACACAGCAACTCGTAGCTATTTTAAAAACCTACAAAATAAATGGGCATTTCTTTTTCCTTAGTCTTAAAGCATTTGTTTACCTCTGTAGCACATACTCCAGCTATGACAGCATTAGAAGATGCTACTGCAGGAATAATGTGCTTTACAACTCCTTGTACAAGCCTATATGTAACACCAGGAATATTAAATTGCAGTGCTCTCTCAACAGACTTTTCATAAATCCAAGAAATGTGCTGAGCATCATCACCATCTAAACTTGTATTAAATGGATTTTCCTTTGGCCACATTATGACTTTAACATACTCTATACAATGTTCTGGTAGTCTAGGAGTGTTGGCTATAGTACATAAAGGATAGTTAACTTGAGGTGGATAGAGATCTAATGTACATTCTATACAGGCACTCATTCCTGGAAGGACCACACGTGCATTTCCTTTAAAACCTTCTGTACCTAAAATTTTAGTTTCTTTAAATTTTAAACATAGCTGGTAAATCGCATACTTTACCTCCATCTACCATTGGTATTACTGACTGCTGATCTAAAACATCATCTTCGTAATTAAGCAAAGATACCAACATTCCATTAATCCACCTCCTAGCCACTATCGAGTCTAAACCACAAACTATAATATGAAACTGTCTATAAAAACTTTCATCAAAATCTTGTATTTTACAGAAATGCGGAGTAACCTGACAGCCAGGCACCTTTTTATTAATAAAACTAGCCGCTATTTCAGCCTTTGAAGAACCAATATCTTTATGTCTAAATAAAAACTGTCTGTTGAGATTCGACAAATCAATTGTATCCATGTCTATTACATGGATGTTTTTAAAACCCATCAATGCAAGATCCTTAAGTAATTCACAGCCCAAACCTCCAGCTCCTATTACTAAAATTTTACAAGACGTCATAATAAAGTCTAAAATCTCTGAAGACGGTTCAAACTCGGGATGACTAAAGGGCCCGGGACGTTCTAAAACTTTTCTTAGATGACCCCATCGTTTTTGATAAGATTCTAACGTCTCTGACATCTTAAAAATACCGGTCTTTCGTTTCACTGACTATATAGACCTAAAAATATCCTTTTTTGATCAGATTTTGATGAATGTCAAAATAATTTGTATTTTTGTGTTTACATTTTATTTTGTGACTATCATTGCGTTCGGTTTGCCACGTTCCTTTAACTCCTTTAACACTTTTAACTCCAAACGACTCTTTTAGCGTTCGGTTTAGTCCGATTAGTGACAGTTTAACACGCTTAAATGTCATTTAAAAGCACCCTAAAATTTGTCCCGCTCCAGCCCCTGACTGACCGAACTCGCCTATTGTGACAAGAAAATCCACCAGATTGTGACTGGACAATAACAATGTGAAACAGAAAATGGTTATTATAAATACTCCCGAGTGAGATGAACAATAAAAATGGCTGCACCCATAAGGTTCGTCCATAGATATCCCATATCTATGGGTTCGTCCCACTGATGTAGGATGAACTACACCAACTAACGAACAGAACGAACACTAACACCCCAGTATCTAATGCTGCGTTTGAGAATCCACATCGGATGCATCTGAGATGTAAAAAATCTTTGATCACGTGATTCAGTATACGTAAATGTAATGGGATAGATGTGTCCGATGTGGATAAAAAAACGCTCGAGATGTAAAAAATGCATCCGATGTGGATTCTCAAACGCAGCAAATGGCCCGTATTTATAAACAGAACTTACGTGAGTCGGACTTGGGTAAGTCGTCCTTGAACTAAAATCGAAGTTCGGTTACAACGTCTTTAAAGTTCCAGGTAGTTCTGGAATTTAGAGATGGATATTAGCAAATCTGTAACTGTTTTGTACATTTACGGATTTGTTACTACCCATCTCTAAATTCCCGCAATATAACCGAACTTCGATTTTCGTTCAAGGACGACTTACCCAAGTCCGACTCACGTAAGTTCTGTTTATAAATACGGGCCTAACACTAATCACTAATCTTTCGTTTGGCCCGGTCAGAGACAACAGCCAGGTGCAGCGTTGCCGTTTAAGTACAAATGTACCCAATTGGGTACATTCTCTCGCTTTCTCTCATTTTTGGACGGATAATCTTAAATTGCAGTAATTTGGAATTGTAAATACAGCAAAATCCGTGGAGAAATTGTACTTTGTAATTATATTAATTTATATTATTTAAATTGTCTAAATACAATTACTTATCATACGTACAATTACTTTTCCAATTACAATTACCCTTTCCAATTACAATTACATTTATAAGTACAACTACATTTTTAATTACAATTACTTTTAGATGCGTCTTTATGAGACGCACGTGATATAAAAACAAGAAATTTCCTATTCGAACCGGTCACTAGAGCTCGGACTCGCATCCATATCATTTGTTTGAATGCATTTGAGGAAAATGTTGTGCCATGAAGCACTGAAATTGTTCAACTCAAAATAACAGTTATGGGTGTAAGTACATGCAGATATCCTTATTTTGTATGTATATTATTATAAACATAATTTATGTTGCATAAACATTATAAACTAAGGAAATATAGTATGAAGTGGTGCAAATAGCAGTTTTTATGGGGTAAATACTAAAAACTACTTATTTACGTTGCGTAGATATTTCTAGTTATTATTCTAGTTTTCTATATTGAATTGATGAAGGATTAACTATTTTAGGACCGATTCCACCATTGTGTTAAATGGAGATTAAAATGACATTGTTAATGTAAAAATGTCATTTTAAACTTCGTTTAACACAACGGTGGAATCGATCCTTAATAAACTTTAGCGTTACAAGTATTTGATTTTAACGTAGAAAATGCAATATTTTAATTAAATTAATAGCACTTGCAACGAAAAAATAAATAAGCTATATCAAGCTAGCGGGCACTCTGTGGCGGCACCATACAAGACCTGGTGGGTTTTTTGTAGCTTTTTTGTTACGCTATTTGCGAATTTGTAGCTTTCGGGTCTTGTATGGTGCCGCCACAGAGTGCCCGCTAGCTTCATAGAGCCAAATAAATATTTTGTTATAAGAAATTATTTGATGATATAGATCTATAACCAAATTTAAGTAAAATGTGCCTCATTTATGTTTGTACGAACGAGATACAGAACGATAAATTTTAGATTATTCAATATAATTTTAATATTTGGTTGCGGCAACACTGGCCCGGTGTAAGCATGGTCTCAGGCCTTTGACTTACATGTCATATGTCTGTGTCATATGCATGTCTTCAGAAACCGAAAATGTCATGTCATAAATCATTCATAAATGGTCATTAATAATTAAAATGTTTTTCTTTTTTTTTTCAATTTTATATTCAATATACTAGACAGCCCTCATTCAAGGTCTAAAAAAAAGATTAGTTATCTGTATTTTTTATATGTTCAAAAGTCAAGTGTAACTACATAATTTAAAATCGCTTAATAATACATTTATCTTATCTTTGTTGTGTTGCTCTGCTTTAATACTCAGGTGTCTGTTTATAAAGTACTTATAGAATTTAATTAACCATACCCTATACAATTTGAATGGCGATTTTTTCTTAAAATTTGTCAATTAACAGTCTTCTTTAAAATGGGGTTAGGAGTTGTTGCTGCAAGTCCATTCGTTTTCGTTAAGGAATTATTAAATGGCCACTTTCAAGGAAAAGAACCTTGGCAAATAGTGTCTGTAACTACTTCTACAGTTCTTTTTTCAGTGTGGTGTTATGGATTTTTTTTCCAAGACGAAAGTAAACCAAATTATTTTTATTTATTATAGCTTTAATATAAGAATTTATGTTTTCAGGTCTGGTTGAAAGGAGTAAGAAAACAGCATTTCGATTGTTTAGGAAGATTCCAGCAGTAAAAAAACAAATTGAAGATGAATTGGAATCAATTTCTAAAGGGTTTGAGGAAGACGTAAGAGAGTCTACTAAGAATTTAACTTTTATTACAGAATTGCCAAAAAGTGGAATAAAAAGAGAGGATATTATTAACAAACTTGATGATAATCTAACATTAGGTAAGCAGAAAGTAAAAAAAAAAACAGTAATGGGCTGGTGGATATTTCATTTCTTAGGTCATAGATATCTTTGGATCCAGGGTTTTGAATCACATTGATAAGATTTTTTTTTTAAATTGATACATGGTAGGAATTCTCACTCAGCCATTTATTGTTGAGTTCTAAAGTGCTGTTACAGAGAACACTAGGATAATGACCAGTCATTAATGCATATTAAATTATTTAACAAATATATATTTTCTTATTTTATTGTTCCAATAAAATAAGTTACATATAACAAGTATTTTAATTGTATCAAACTTATTGTTAAAATGTCATACATTAATTCTAGGTAACTATGACTGGAAAGGGGGTAAAGTTTCTGGTGCTGTTTATTTTTACAATGAAGATTTAATAAACTTAGTTTCTGAGGTTTATGGAAAAACTTCTTATACTAACCCTTTACATCCAGATCTATTTCCTGGATTATGCAAAATGGAAGCAGAAGTTATAAGAATGTCGGCAAATCTATTTCATGGAGATGAGGATGTGGTTGGATCAGTAAGTGCAAACCTGCTTCAAATCATGAGAGTTTTATAAAACTTTGTTATTTATTCATTTTTTCTTCTTCAATAATAAAAACAGGTTTTGTTTTACAGATGACAAGTGGTGGTACAGAATCTATCTTAATGGCTTGTAAAGCATTCAGGGATTATGGCAGAGAAATAAAAGGCATTATCAAACCTGAAATTGTTGTACCAACAACAGTTCATGCTGCATTTGATAAAGCTGCACAGTATTTTAAAATGAAAGTTAGATATATTCCAATTGATAACAAAACCTATCAAGTTGATTTGAAGAAATTTAAAAAAGCCATTAATTCTAACACTGTATTGGTGAGTTATTAATATAAAACCCAAGTATGAAGCTTAAGAAATAAAGGAAAATGTGTTATTACATTTTCTATTTAGAACTTTAATAATTTTAAGATCAACTTCTTTACATATATTTTATTTGTAAGTTCATTGAAATAATTAAATTTTACAAAACTAAATTTAATTTTAGTATAATTTACATTCACTAATGAACATGATTAATAATTTTTAGTTAGTAGGTTCAGCTCCCAACTTTCCATATGGTACAATTGATGACATTTCTGCAATTTCTGAGTTAGGTGTTAAATATAATATCCCAGTTCATGTAGATTCCTGTTTAGGAGGATTTTTGAGCTGTTTTATGGAAGATGCAGGGTATCCAATTCCCATATGTGATTTTAGATTGCCCGGAGTAATAAGTATTTCTGCCGATACACACAAATATGGTTATGCACCCAAAGGTATACAAAATATATAGGTAGTTTAGTTATGATTTTAAAAAATTGACATAATATTTTTTGTTTAGGTTCTTCTGTGGTTCTATATAGAAATAAAAACTACCATCACCATCAATATACTGTAACCACAGATTGGCCTGGTGGTGTTTATGGTTCACCAAGTGTTAATGGTTCAAGGCCAGGGGGTAATATTGCAGTTTGTTGGGCAGCAATGTTGAACTTTGGTAAAGACAAATATGTACAAGCAACCAGAGATGTAATACATACAACAAAATACATAGAAAAAGGGCAAGTTTAAATTATCAAAAGAAAACATATGAATGATTTGCAAGTTATTTATATAATTATTTTACAGATTAAGAAGAATAAAAGGTATCTTCATTTTTGGACAACCTGTTACAAGTGTCATAGCTTTGGGATCAAATGATTTTGAAATATATAGGCTATCAACAGCTTTAAAAGAGAAAGGCTGGAATTTAAGTGTTTTGCAGTTTCCTTCAGGGTGTGTTTCAACAGCATTTAATTTTAAATTAAAATATATTGTTTGAATCAATTTAAAGGCCTACTTTATTTTAGAATTCACATTTGTGTAACAAGACAGCACACTAAACCAGGTGTTGCTGACCAATTTTTAGAAGATGTTCGAATAGCATTAGATGAAATCTTAAAGAATCCATCAGAACCTGTAGAGGGCAAGGTATGCACAATTATAATTTTTTAATTCCTTATATAAAAATGGTACATTATTATTTTTTAGATGGCCATTTATGGAGTTGCACAAGCATTACCTGATAGGTCAATTGTAGGTGATTTTACAAGATTGTTTTTAGATTCCATGTTGTATATACCAAAACAAAAAAAATAGAGTTTCTAAGAGTATAAAATAAAATCAAATCTATATATATTTTTTGTAACCCTATTATTTTGTTGTTTTTATGGCCAAGTACTATGTGATGAGTAAATAAATGTTTATACAAGGAACAGTGAATAAATTGTTAATTGATAATTGCTTTTTTACTGAATTAAACAAATTATAAAGTACATTAAACAGTCATCTCCTTCTGCAAGAAGGTACTTCAATCTATTAAATCCAGTAAAAGGGTTGAACTGGGATCTTCTGTGATCTTAGGAGGGCCCTGACAATTTTCACTCATGTTAGGCCTCTTCTTTTTGCAATTTAGGTAAATGAACTAAACCTAGGATCCTTAGAGCTCAAGCGTGGTAGCACTGCAGCTTTTAAGTCTTATTGTGTCACCATTTGAGGATCCTATTGATATAATCATTCATACCACGCTTTAGATGGTTAACTACTACTCTTCTCATGTAAGTCCCCATCCAAGACGTGACAGGGGACTTCATTGCTTAGTTGTGAGAATGTGGATGAGGACAAACTTTACCTCTCTGTCTCATGGGGAGGGTTATCAGACGTCCGGATCACTTTAAGGATTTTTGAATTAAATGACTTCTTACACACCAACATAAATAACATAGAAGTCTTGAGCCAAAGATTGTTTATTAAAATATAAAATTTTCTTTTAGTTGGATAATCTTTTTCCTTTAAATAAAATATATAATTAATTTTCATACTTTCACATACTCCAAGAGGATAGTCTACCATGATCTTTAATTTTTATACCACATTTTTTAGCATTATCTCTAACACTATCACAAATCTGTAAAATATTTTTATTCTTATCAGTAATACCTATATTTCTAATGTCTTGTCTAAATTCACTTAAAAGATCTACAATTTCACTTAAATTTTTAGATTCAGCAGTTTTATTATCTGCATTTAGTCCAAAAATTCCCAAAGTATTACTTATGAAGTTTTTAACAGCTAAAACTGGGGCCAAATCACTTTCAGTGTCTAAAGATGCAGAAGTGTGCAACATAATATTAGTTGCTGAAACTAGTTCACTTAGAGTTTTTATCACAGTTGGGGTATCAAAATTATCACATAAGGCATTATGTATATTATCATTACTTTTGTTAATGAGTCCATATAAAACATTTTTATTTATTGAAGCTTTTAGGTAACCTCTTTTATACTCGTCACAAGATATTAAACAGTTTTTAAAAGTTTTGTAAGTATTTTCTGCTGTAATCATTAATTCTTCACTATACTCCATGTTACTTTGGTAAGGGGACATTACACAGGACATCCTAAAGCTTTCTGACGATACATTGTTTAACATATCTTGTATTGATATTGTATTTTTCAGAGATTTTGACATTTTTTCAGCATTATTTAAGTGCAAGTGACCTGTATGTAACCAATAGTTTACCCACTGAGGAGTGTTATGGAAGGCACAAGACTGAGCTTCTTCATTTTCATGATGAGGGAATCTTAGGTCGATGCCTCCTGCATGGATATCAATATTAGAACCTAAAAAAATGCAATTTAGTTAGGTATACAATGTACAAATTAAATAATCTTAGGTAGTCTAGTAGTTTAGTGTTCAACTAAAGCGCATGTCTGCACCATTGCTTCTCCCTTCTGACAACCGGAAATGGTTACATGGTGGCCAGCACTATATAGATAATTTCAAATTTAGGTAAAAGACCAGTAGAAAAAGTCCTCATCTTTCTACTGAATTTCAAAAAAAAAAAAATTACTCTGCCTATATATTTTTGTATAAACCATGTCCCTTCCAAAGTTATGTGCCGTGAAAAAGACATTTGCTGTAAAAAGGGTCATATTAAGCTTTAAAAAGTAACAAGGACATTTTGCTTCAAAAAAGGACAGGTGGCAACCCTAGTCATCAGAGGACTTTTTTTAGAAATAAATGAAGATTTCTTGTAATTTTAGATTATTTTAATGTATTTTTTTTTTGTGAAACAAATATTTTCTTTGCCATCAAAATTAAAAGAAAAAAAAAAAAAAACAAACGGCAAAACGAGAATAGACATATGGCAACGAGGCAGGTGTAAAATTAAAATTCTAAGTGTCACTGCAGAGTGTAGTGAATATTAGAGATGGGAAGCATATGTATGTATTACATTTTATTGTACTGACAGTACAATCCACCATTACATGGGCATTACACTTTGCATTTATTTGTTGTAAGTACATGATCGACAACATGCTAACAGGAACTGTTGTTAATTCGTATGTGTGAATTTAATGCAAAAATATGTACATACAATTGTAATTTTAGTATTGACATGGACATCACAGAATGTGACGTCACTCGGTTCATACTGTAAGACACTTTTAGTGTATTGTATGGAGTGTACTAGTGCAACTAAATAATATGTGCCTTAATAGGACACTAAACTACATTAAAAGATATGAGGTTATTATAATTAATATTCAAGTTACCAAAAATTTGTGAAGCTAATGCTGAACACTCAATATGCCAACCAGGTCTTCCTCTGCCCCAAGGGCTGTCCCAAAAAGGTTCTCCTTCTTGTTTTAAACTTTTCCACAAAGCAAAATCTAGAACAGACTTTTTTACATGACCAAGTTTTTTTGTAACTTCCTGGGTACCAATATTTTGTAACTTTGCATAATTTTTTACAGTTTCTACATTGAAATATATAGAATTATCAGCAGCTTTATAAGCTTGATTAGTTTCTACAAGTTTTTTAATAAAATTTATTATTAAGGATATATTTTCAGTTACTCTAAGCACAACACTAGGTTCTTCTATTCCTAAATGTTTACAATCGTCCCAAAATTCTTTTTCAAATTTCTCAGCTAAAACATGATATTCCACATTAAGTTCTTGAGCTCTTCCTATTATTTTATCATCTATATCTGTAATATTTACAGCAGTAACCAAATTAAATTTAAAATAATTTCTTAATATCCTTTGTATTATATCTAATTTAACATAACAACACGCATGTCCTACATGTGAAGAGTCATAAACGGTAGGACCACAAGTGTACCATGTTACAATATCTTTATTTTTTAGAATTAAAGGTTCTTTTTGTTTAGTAACGCAGTTGTACACTTTTATGCCAGTGTCATATCCTTTAGGAATGTTCCAAGCAGGATTTGTATGAATTTTGTTAATTCGTAATTGGTGTTTTATTACATTTTTTAACAATATATTCCTAAACATTTTTAAAAACAAAAGTTATCAACCTGGTTTGAGGTTATATTATTCTTTTACTTTGGTTATCTTTTGGTCTTTTGCTTTGTTGTACCTTTGCCACAACTTACTACGTCATACTTATGTAACAGAAAAAAATAAAAGCAAAAGACCATATGAGGTAAAGCCTAATTTATAACCGCCGTAACGTAACTTAAGTACGTAACGTAATTTAAGAACTTAACGTACCTTTTAAAACGATACAGAAACGTATACGTAAACGTATCTAATGACAGCTACGCATGCGCAACAGCTATTTTTCCCACGTATCTATTTACTTCAGGGGGTCAATTCTCGACTTGTAGGAACCTTTTCCTATAGGAATTTGTGACACTTTCCTATAAGTAGGACAATGTCATAAGTTTTCGATGTATATAAAAATGTCAAAAATTCCTATAGGAAAATATTCCTACGAGTCGAGAATTGACCCGCTGACGTAAATGTACGTGTTCTTACCAATGAACTGGAGTGGGGTAGAATGCTTGTCAATAGGCTTGAGATGCGACTCTATGGACGAAGACAGGTTATTTTTTATCTCACTTGGGAGTATTTATAACAACCATTTTCTATTTCACTTTGTTATTGTCTGATCCACCAGCTTGTGGATTGAACAATAACAATATGTGAAACAGAAAATGGTTATTATAAATACTCCCGAGTGAGATGAGAAATAAAAATGGCTGCGCCCTTAGAGTCGCATCTTGTTCTGTTGATACAATATGCACATTGGCTTTCTACCCCACTCCAATTCATTGGTTCTTACCAGTTCTTACGTACGCCCACATACTTTGATTTTCTTTACTATACGGTGCAAGAGAGAGGTCCGACACGCCCAACATAGGGCGCGGCCATTTTGATTCCTATGCCACAGTTTATAGCTAAAGAATCAGATCGCTCACTCTGCGTCGGCACTTTTGATCTCAGTGTTCCAGTTTATACACTGCGCAACTCGGATAATACAATATATGACAACCGCCTATAATAAAACAGCAGTCTTCTTCGTATCCTGAATTTGTATCCCAGGGGGTCGATTCTCGACTCGTAGGAATATTTTCCTATAGGAATTTTTGACATTTTTATATACATCGAAAATTTATGACAGTTTCCTACATATAGGAAAGTGTCACAAATTCCTATAGAAAAAGGTTCCTACAAGTCGAGAATTGACCCCCTTGAGTGGATGTTATTTTGGAACTTTCAACTGGTCCGAGTGAGCTAACTGATTCTTTAGCAGTAAACTGTGACTCCATAAATAATAGGTCTTTTCCTTTGCATCGAAAGTGTAGGACCGAACTACACCGCTTCTGAAAATATCGTTCCATTTATACAAATTGTATGGATGGAACAATATTTTTAGAAGTAACGTAACTCAGTGCTACACTTTCGATGCAAAGGAAAAGACCTATAAGGTCTTTTCCTTTGCATCCACAGTGTAGCACTGAGCTACGTCACTTCTCAAAACATCGTTCCATCCATACAATTTGTATAAATGGAACGATATTTTCAGAAGTGGTGTAGCTCAGTGCTACACTTTTGATGCAAAGGAAAAGACCTAATATTCACTGACACTGACAGCAGCAAGCAAAATATCAGGTGCGTTTTAATCATCCGCTTCTGCTTCCGGAATTGTCGGTTTAGTCGTTTTAACACACATACTTTGATTTTCTTTTACTATACGGAGAATGGTCGCACTGCGCAGCTTTCTGAGTGCCTTTTAAAAGGAGATAGAAAACTCCGCCATTTTGAACCCTTATTACGTGTTGCCTACATCTTGGCGCAATATTTTTAATAGGTGCGTTTTAATCATCCGCTTCGGAATTGTCGGTTTTCTTGTTTTAATCTGACAGGTTAAAACGAATAAACCGACAATTCCGGAAGCAGAAGCGGATGATTAAAACGCACCTGATTGCTTGCTGCTGTCAGTGTCAGTGAATATTATTTTTGAAGTCACAGTTTATTGCTAAAAAATCAGTTAGCTCACTCGGACCAGTTGAAAGTTCCAAAATAACATCCACTCCAGGGATACAAATTCAGGATACGCAGAAGACTGCTGTTTTATTATAGGCGGTTGTCATATATTGTATTATCCGAGTTGCACAGTGTATAAACTGAAACATTGAGATCAAAAGTGCCGACGCAGAGTGAGCGATCTGATTCTTTAGCTGTAAACTGTGTCACAGGGTTCAAAATGGCCGCGCCCTATGTTGGGCGTGTCGGACCTCTCTCTTGCCTCGTATAGTAATCAAATGCTGCGTTTGAGAATCCACATCGGATGCATTTTTTACATCTCGAGCGTTTTTTTATCCACATCGGACACATCTGTCCCATTACATTTACGTATACTGAATCATGTGATCAAAGATTTTTTACATCTCAGATGCATCCGATGTGGATTCTCAAACGCAGCAAAAGTATGTGTTTTAACCTGTCAGATTAAAACAAGAAAACCGACAATTCCGAAGCAGAAGTGGATGATTAAAACGCACCTATTAAAAATATTGCGCCTAGATGTAGGCAACACGCAATAAGGGATCAAAATGGCGGAGTTTTCTATCTCCTTTTAAAAGGCACTCAGAAAGCTGCGCAGTGCGACCATTCTCCGTATAGTAAAAGAAAATCAAAGTATGTGCGTACGCCTAATACCACATACTTTGATTACTATACGAGGCAAGAGAGAGGTCCGACACGCCCAACATAGGACGCGGGTATATAAATTATCAATTAATTAACTAGACGATCACTTTCTACTACTTGAGGAAAATGGCCAAATACAGTATAAGTATAGAATTTAAAGTAAAGTAAAACTTGTGAGGTAAATAAACAAATTTCAAAGAGTAAAATAAAGAATAAAATCAAACTAAAGAGGGGGCAGGGGGTGGGCCGTCACAGAGATAGCAGAGAATAAAATTCTAATTAAAAATATTATTTATTTTATAATTTTTCCTATCGTCTCGACACATGCTATGAGTGTTATTTATTATGTTTCCTCCAATTCCTTCATATAATAACAATTTAAGAGCTCATTGACTGGACTAACATCGGGCGCAGTAAGATCACAGCTTATTCATATCCAGCTAGAACACTCTCTTGGCGGGAACGGTTTGCGTCGATCCCTTCGTGCAGGTTTTATGCTCCGCCTTTTCGGGGAAAAGATGGCTTTGCCGTGCAGTCGGGAGATCGGTATTACTTATTCTACGTTAAGCGGACATAGCCGTGCGTATATTTTCGTGTTTAATTTGTAATTCTTTTGAACATTTGTGTTTTATGTTTATTTTTTACTGTAGTAAAATGAGTGACAAAAAACTATCAGGACATCATCATGTTTGTGCAGTGCGAAATTGTTTTAATAAAGGTTATAATTGTAAGAAGAAATTCTATTGTTTTCCTAAGGATGTTAACCGGTAAGTACTTACCTACACGATATTTTTTGCATATTTTGATGAAAAGTAAACTTTCGATTATTTGCTATGTTGTAGTAAAAGTAATTTAAAGTCATACAAAATCTTCTTTAATTATGAGAAGCTATGTTTGGCCTGTATAAATATATAGTTATTAATTTAATACTTGTTAAGGTAAAAGAGGGTTTATTGGTGGTTTTGTTTAATATTTTTGCAAATCGAAATAAAATATGTATATCAACAAATATTAATTGGAAGCAAATAGATACAGTATGCGCCAGATCTAAAGAACCAAGGATGCGCATTTATAATGCTACTAACACGCCTACGGATGAATAGAATTGGTAGCTTACCTAGAAAGTTGTAAACCAGAGGTCCGTATATTTTAAGACATAAAATAAATGGAAAATAGTAAATGATACTTGTTCATACATATTGCTTAGTGTTATTATAGTACATAATTCTATAGTCAATTAAAAAAATCATTATTTTTAGGTAAACCGACTTTAGGTTAAGGCTGTTCTACCGCTTTCCGTTCGGTATTTATATAAAATTCTGTTACGGTCAGGAAATTATCCTTTTTCAAATAAATTAAATTGTGGAAAAATTGTATATTTAAAGCTATTTAAAACATTACAATAGTTATACTAAAAACAAAAATAATTCTACAAAACATATTTTTTTCTGAAAACCAATCGTTTATGCAAAAATTGTTTCACATTTTGATAATAAAGGCATTAAATTAAACCATTTAGAAACACTTGAAATAAATTGATTTAAAAATTTAAATATCCTCTTAAGTGATCAATTAGATATTAATAAGTAGCCTAATTAAATCTCTTTACCTGTTCTTAGTTTTCTGTGAGATAATCCCGGTAATGATATTTTAATGGAATTTATTAATATATTTCTCTTAAGTACCTATTTTAACTAATTAGTTTATTTTGGATATATATTAGAAATGTAAATGAGTTACATTTGAAAAAGAAGTTGTACTTAGAAACAATTGTCGTGCAATTTTTAATTTTTATTTCTTTAAATAAAAATGTGAAAATCTACCATGTTCGGTTTTTCTCATTTTAATAATATGGATTTGCATCAAGTAAAGACCGTAATATTATATTAATGTTAAATTTAGTATTTTTTTTACATTTATTAGGAAACAAATTTTTTTAGAAACAGAAGATAAATTTAAAAAATTTAAATATAAAATATTAATCAAAAATAAAATGCACAGATATGTGTGTAAAATACAAAAAAAATATGGAAAACTACACAAGTTTAATTCCAAATAAACTACAGGGTATGTTTACCTGTTGCTTGTGCAGTTTGAAGTTTGATATCATCTAAAGTAACTCCTTCCTTTTTTGTTGCGTCAAAATATTTAAAAACATTGTATATTACTTCACGACTTTGTCCGTTAATAACAAATCTGCGCTTTTTTTCACCCACAATAGAAGACATTATTAAAAATAAAACCAGTCACTTTAACCAAAACACAGCAACAAACAATGTTCTAGTCGTTACGCTACTGACCGTAAGCAAGGACAAGGTTCAAATTGTGAATGGGCGTGGCGATTTTTAAGTAAACGAACTTGAGCATTTGCGCTGGTTCTTCAGATTTCGCGTTTACAATACCTATATAGCATTGTTTAAA